TCGACACGGCTCCTGCAGTCCTCCAACTGGCTCCGTCTCGGGAAATGCTGAGTGGGTTACTATCCTAAATGCAGCAGCTACCGTCGGTGTTACCCGTTCCGTTGGCAGATGCAGACTGCCGTCTCTCCCAGACAACTCTTTCTCTTCTTAAATAGTGGAGGTGGGCCTCTTCATCCCCCTCCAGACGGATCCATGGTCCCGAGAGGCAGCTTTTTTGGCCACCGGGGACTTAATCTGAAATAAAACAGATGGGGCTCAAGCCGCCAAACAGCTGCACCGGGCTCAAGACGCCTCTAGTGCGAGATGTACCGGGCTCAGCACGCCTCGTCCCATCAAAAACGGACAATGTTTACGGCTTGTGAGCTATATACAAAAACACTACTTGGTTTTTTGTTTATAGCTCGCAAACCGTAAACATTGTCCGTTTTTGATGGGACAAAAACGGAAATGTTTGTTAAATCAAAGTTATTAATGTAAATGACTAAATTTATACATCAGATTAAAAATTTGTTAATGATAATTATTGAACTAGAGCGTTCACGGAAGTGTCGCTAATCGGATTAAAAAAGGGTCGTGCAGGACCAGCCGGTAATGACCCTCCCGGTCAGTTTGGGCTGCCTCAACTTAGGGTGGCAAGAACCTATAGTACTGGGGTGCCGGGGCTCAACACGCTTCTCGTACTGGGGTGTACCGGGATCAGCACACCTCTAGTGCGGGGGTGGCGGGGCTCAACTCAACACGCTTCTAGTACATACCCCACCGGTGGCGCCTACCGACGGGGTCGGGCCCGGAGGCCCAACATGTCGAAGTCCTCCAAGAATGCTCCTTATATAGGGTCGCAACTCGTAAGATGCTTGGTGAGTGGGGGTAAGTACCCAGTATCCACCCCTGGCCGAAAGTACTGGGCACTTTTCCCTAATCACTTTCCCTCAGTACTTTTCCCTCGGGTCACTGAGCACCATTCCTCGGTGCTTTGGTGTTTTAGCCCATATTACATTACCCAACCTTGGCCTTCCTCAACACATCATTACAACATATGCTGTCAAAACTTGACGTTAAGCGTAATTTTAATTAATTATCGAAGTATTTTAAATTCCCTGAGTATGCAAGTTTTTAGTATTTTGAAGGGTGGATTTTATATCAAATGGAGTGCAACTTAATCTTGTCTTGAAATAGTTCCTGCATCCGTCTGAATTATTTCGGAATTTGTCTGGGGGAGATTCTCATCCAAGCGTATAATATCAAGGCGTGGTTTTTTTCTTAGAAATTGAGACGAATCTTTTGACACCTCAAACGTTGAAATTGGCCCACAAATATCCCTTATTTGTATTGCCTCCCTGGAGTAGTGTTAACAAAAACGGCTTCGCGTATTATATACAATAAATATATAATACATTTTTTTAATTTGTTAAAGGGAAATAACAGAGACGCCAAGCCGTATTTCATACTATTCTTCAGTTAAATACAAAGATTAAATAAACAGTCTAATGCTATGTAATAATATGTTTAAGTGAGGAATCCACAGTCCAAAGCCTGAAATGCATACTACTCTTCAGGTAGGGTAGCCACAAAAAAAATAAAACAATCCATAACTATGTTTTGAAAAGCCCAAAAGATTTTTACAAAAAAAAAATACTATGAATATTATATTCTTTAGGTAACCACTTTAAAAATCTAAACGATCAATAACTATGTTTTAAGAAGCACAAAAGACGTCAAACCCTATATGAAAATTACTAGAAAAATGTAAACTCAAAAGAAACAAAAACATCACGTTAATAAGGATTTTATCACGTTTCTTGTTCAACAATTGCGACAAATTGCCATCAGATCTCTTAGTCTGACCAATCCAGGAAAAAAAAATTTTCCCCCAAAAAAATACTAATATTTATAAAACCCCCGTTGCAGTTGACCTGCATACTCAGTGAATTTCAAATGCTTAGATAATTAATTATAATTAAGCTACGTCAAGTTTTGTCGACATAAGCTGAGAAAGTACAGTACAATCTTCATAAATAATCTTGCATAAATTCACCATATGAATAACATGGGAAATGAGTATGTAGGTTTGCTGCCATGTAAATGTAAAATATAAATATTTTATAGTCATTATCAAGTAGCTCAACTAGGTGAAACCACATACCAAGTCGTATTAAGATACGTTAAAAAATAACTGAGATATAGAATGTTATTTTTCCCATAAGGATAACATGGGGGACAGAGTGTTCTGTGTTTACTACTTTCAATATCTCGGTAACCAATATACATAGAGCGATGATTCAAAATACTAAATTGTTCATCTTTTAAAGCTGGATTCAACGGTGGAAAGTAAATTTTGATTATTTTAATTTTTCCAAATGATAAATCCAAAAAACCCATTTTGTGGGGCGTAAAAAATTAATATTTTCTAAAATACAAAGAAACCGTTGGTTTAACCGCTAAAGGTGTAATGACCTTTTTCATAGATAATAATTAGACCTTTCAAATAAGATGTCACGCGTCAAAATCGGTTACGCGGTTTCCGAGATATGCGACATTATTATTATTGGCTGAGCGGCCATTTTGATGACGTCACTGTCCGTGACCTAATTATTTTAAAGCTTGCCTCCCGGCTGATTTTCACTCTTTTACATATATTTAGTCGATTCCCAAAGTATGGTGCTGGTCTCCGGAAGTGAAAGATTACCAGGTAATATGTTGCTTGTTCCACGCACTATTGGACAACTTTATGGGGCTAATATTGAACTCTTATGAACAACGTCAGTATTTCCATTAGTTACAAAACCAATGAGTTAAGAATTTTAAACTCATCAAAAATTATGACTGTTATTAGTTTTGAAATAACTCCTGTTAATAATACTAACAATACTGCTCGTTTTCTAGCAACAGGTACACTAGTTGCTTTAAAAATGATGGTTAAAGTTATTGCAACCTAATGTAATTTTGCCTAATGGTTACAGAGAAAATTCCAAAAAATTGTAAATTTAAAATTTCTATTTTATCCTTATGGAGAATAAGTCAACCGTTGTAGTTTGCTTGTTTGTGAACATATTATGATCAAATTTGGAAAATACGTTAATTTATTACCAAACTATTAACATTTTACAACAAAAAACACTTTTTTACCCTCCCTGTTGCAGCAAACCTAAGTACTTGTTAAACTAATTCTATTTAAATAGGGAATAAATGTGATATTTTTAAGGAGACATTTTAGTGTAAATCCAATCAGGCAAATGGAAATTCGCTTAGTCTGCAGGTTTGCTGCGGCGGGGGTATATAACATTTTTGTAAAATTTTATATGGAAATGTGAAGAGCATCTAAAAATGAACCAATAACATAAAGAACCTATGATGTTTACTGAGCATTATTCTTTTACATCATCTGTTGCAAAATTATGGATTAAAAACTTCTTTACGCCACTCTACACTATTTTGACAAACTTCCCACGCAAGGATTTAGTCCAGAAAACAGCTGTTTGCCGCCAGCTTATTCAAATGGGGTTTCATTGCGTACTACTGTACTGCAATGAGTTTTACCGGACACCAATCAGCTGATTATACTGTATTTAGGTGGCAATGAATGGTTATAAACAAAAACATAACCTGGTTATGACTGGTGATTTTTTAGTCCTTTAGTTGGTGGAAATATATAAGAATCTGTACGAATTTAGTAGTATGGCGTAAATTATCGTACGTAACTCGTCCAAAATGTGTGTACCGGACTCGTATGGTAATCCAGTACTCGACTTTGTCTCGCACGGGAACGACCACACTCGTCCGGCAAACACTTATTTTCAGGACTAGTAACGTAATATACTATTACCAGACACCAATCAGCTGATAGATAAACAAAAAGTTGTAGTTATAAAAATAGCTATTTACATTACAAGTGATGTAAACACGCTCTTGCGTAACGTGTAACGTATAAGATTTTACCTGACCCGACAATATACATGGGTTAACGTACAATATTTTTCATTATCCATTTCACTCATCTTCTACCAGTAACGTTATTTTACTAACAACATTACAAAAGCTAGGTTAGGAAAATACTTTAAAGCATAACAATAACATTCAATCGCACAGCTGATTTCTAGCGTTGAACGTCGTTGGCTCCATAGAGTTATATTTTTTAAGTTAAGCACTCAATGTTATTTAAATGGGTTTCTTTACATCACCGAGTGAGTTTTTGATACTTTACATCACTCGAGAAGTAAGGAAGTTGTATACATCACGCTTGGGATAGGGAAGTTTAACATGGCGGGTTAGGTAAAAAATATAACCTCACTTAGAGGTTATGACTAGTTATTTTTAGTCATTTAGTTGGTGGTATAAGGATTTGTACAGATTTAGTAGTATGGCGTTAACTATCGTATGTCACTCATCCAAAATGTGTTTACCAGACTCGTATGGTAATCCCGACCACCCTCGTCCGGCAAACACTTATTTTCAGGAACGTAATATACTATTTCTGATAGCTGGAAATTTGTAATGTGAGTTTAAAGTAAACATTCAAATCTTCAAGTTGCATGAAAAAAAAACCACGGTGATACAAAAGGGGATTTTTATTTCTATGGAATATGAAAATCACATAGTATAGATGACTCAGCATTTTAAATAAAGAAACATACAGGTATGTACAACAGCCATTCTTTTTAAAACGTAACTTTGAAAGTGTAATTTTTACAACAATTGTTGTAAAAATTACAGTTTAAAAGATACTGCAACTTTTATGATTTTCTAAATAATATCATGGTTTCTCCCACCTCTTACCCATTATAAGGGTTGTTGACAAGCAAATGGGAGAACAGAAAGTATCTCTGTGTCAGACTGCTGATACCGTACTTATATTTTGTAATTGTAATTTAAAATCCAGTTATCCTTTATCCTTTATTTAGTACATTTATTTACACTATATTAAAACATAGTGTTTTTTATTATACATCTCTGATGTATATGAATGATAATCGATTATAATATGTTTCTAAAACATATTACAGGGTGAAAACATCAGACCAACCAAGGGAGATGTATTCAGTGAAAAGAATCAATCTTTTTGTGGCAGCACTTATTGGTAGGTATAAATCTTTTACATGCCTTGTATGGTAAAAAATTATAATACAGTAAAATATAAATCTGATAGTCATATACAGAGTATCTCTCGTAAGGTGTCTCAAATTACAGAAAAAACGGCTTAACGTTCAAGGATGAAATAAAATTATTTCTTGCTAAATCGACCCCAAGGAATAAAGTAAAAATATTTTTAACCCTTTTTTCCGATACAGAGTGTGCCAAAAAGTGAGGGTCACTAGTTCGAATCTCAGAATTTTCAAAAGTAAACATAAAAATGTCATGTTATAAACCGTTTTAAAGATATATAATTGACAAACATTCTGGCAAAAAAATAAATCAATTATCTTTTTCTGTTTTAAAATGGCGGCAGCTTTTTTTTGAGAAAAATCAATATGTTTTTAATACTTTCTGTTTCCTATACCAATGCACTTAGCCCTTCTCCGGTTGAATTTTCTTACTTATTATGAAACTAGCAGAGTACCCATCCTTCGTACGGGGTTGGCATACAAGTATAAAATGCTTATTGCAGTTATACTCAAGCTTTGCATTTGCAATGGGGGAGGACACATTGGAAGAAAATTGTTTACTATAATAAAATTTATGGTATACTATAGTATTACTGTACACATCTACCATCGCCAATGTTCTACCACTTCACCTAACCAACAGAGACGGATCAATTATGAACAATTCGCAAAATATCACAAATTACCCATGAAGTTAAAAACATAACTGTAAACAGTCCTACTTTGACAGTATGACAGTTCTCATTGCATATCACAGTTTTTTTGTTGCTGCTTGATTCAAATAGTAAATGGTTCAAATTAGCTGTTTCCATAAAAGCAAAAATAATTATAGTGCTGCACCCTGTTGGTAAATCTTATAACTTTTATAACTTTTGCATATCATAGAACCAATTTTTTTAGTTAAAACAGCTGACTAAATTCTTTAATCCCCTTTAATTGAAATGAAATGAAATGAAATGAAAAAGTGCTTTATTGACACAAAAATAAACTGCATAAATGACATATGAACTTATAACTAAACATAATCTTCTGCATAACGACAACAAAATTACTAAATACCCCCGCCGCAGCAAACCTGCAGACTAAGCGAATTTCCATTTGACTGATTGGATTTACACTGAAATGTCTACTTAAAAATATAATATTTATTCCGGATTTAAATAGAATTAGTTTAACAAGAGTACTTAGGTTTGCTGCATCAGGGAGGGTAAAATTGTTTTTTTTTTTGTAAAATGTTAATAGTTAGTAAGAAATAAAAACATTTTCCAAATGTGATCAAAATATGTTCATAAACAAGCAAACTACAACAGTTTACTTATTCTCCATAAGAATAACATGGGAATTTTAAATTTACAATTTTTTGTAATTTTCTCCGTAACCGTTAGGCGCATAATAACGCTTCAATATATTAAATTATTTGTTTTTTTAAGCTCTACAAAATGGTTTGGAAATAAATTGCAAAATTTTAAGTTTTTTGGGTCAAAAATGGGAAAAACCTTTTTTTACCCCATAAAACCCCCGTAAACACCCGTTCACATGATCCGATCATGCTGGATCGCGAACTCGTTCGAATAAACGTAGGTTTACACGTTTGTACCAAATTTCATCAAAATCAGATCATTTTTGCTTGAGTTATCGTGCTGACGGACACATATATATAAATATATAAATATATATATATATATATATATATATATGAATTTGAACGGATGGTGTTTTTGGCCTCTAGGGACCTCAAAACGAAAAAAAAAATCGGTCCCGCGTCCAGGTCTTACCATGAGTACTACGGTAATAGCTTATTCCCTATATGGGAAATTCGCTAAAACAGCACATTTCAGCAATGGTCATAAGACCGTCTGCCGGGTTGACAACATTTTATTTTATACAACTAAAAATGTGAACTATTTGTAATAAGCTATAGTATTTATATTACTTTGCTGCTATACATTGAATTCTAAAACCAAATCCCACCTATACTTCCAAGCCTCTTTAAGAAAATTTGCCAGCGAACGCCAATCCTTACCATTAAGAAAATCTATAAACTCTGAGCGAGTTAAAACAGGTTTCAATAGCCATTTATTTCTAATTTGGTTTAAAATTGGACAACGAGCAAAAAAATGATAAGTGTCCTAATTCTCATTTAGATTACATAAAGAACATATAAAATTAGCGTCTGTCATCCAAGGTTTAAAATTTAAGGAAATAGTCTCTGTCCTTACTTTGAATACCCATCGCCTAACAATATCAGGAACGTTATCTGATAGATATCCATTATCTCCAAGGTCAAGATTCAGTGAAGCATAAGTTGTGTGGTATCGTGAGGCCAATGCCGCCTGGACTAACCCCCGCCTGCTCTCCCCCCTTACTGCCTCTACTACTGATAACAGGTGTCGCTGGGTATCCTCAATGGAATTCACATCAAAGGATAATTCAGTTCCATGTTTACTTCCAAGACCCTTCCAATCTCTGCTCCAATAAATATTTTCCCTGATTATTTTCTTTGCTAATTTATTTGGTAGACGGTTCGGCGGCAGTGACAGAGCATGTATGATGTAACAAGCATGCATGCTGAGTGTATAAATGTACTCTTTTTCTAGTCCAGTTTCGAGATACAACGCATAGTTTGGAGTATTTTTTGCCAATCCTAAAATTTTCTTTACAAAATAACAAAGAGTCCCATCTACATAATCACTTTCCCATAAACCCCAAATTTGACACCCATAACAAAGAGTTGCTCTGACAATTGTAAAATAAATAGTGAATTTTTACTTAAAGGTAAATTTTTGTTATTTAGAAATGTATTCCAAATACTGTTAATTGCTAATTTTGAAGAGCTGCACTTGTGTTTTAAATGCAAACCCCAGGATAGTTTAGAATTTAAGTTTATTCCCAAATATTTATAATCATTAACCACATCGATTCTTTCACCCCGAAAATACCATTTGTCATTTTTCCTCAGTTTCCCTCCTTTCCTAAAAACCATAATCTTTGACTTACTTAAATTCACAGTCAAGTTCCATTGTTGACAATATCTCTCAAGGTCATTTATCATTAACTGCAGACTGGTTCCCGTCGGAGCCATCAACACAATGTCGTCAGCATATAACAAAGCCTTAATTTGAACATCTCCAAAAATGCAGCCTCCACTTAATGAATCTATAATGTCATTTACAAATAAGTTAAAACATAAAGGACTCGCTGCAGTAAAATCTACAAAAAAAGTATATAATTTACCCTTTTTTTTACTGAGACACAATTTTGCAGCATTTGAAAGAATAAAAACATTATCAATTGTCGAATAGCCACTCCTGAAACCGGCTTGATATTCACATAGCTTATCATGATCTGATATCCAAAGATTTAATCTGTTGTGCAGTAAACTTGTGTATAACTTAGCTACGCAATCTATAAATGATAAACCCCTATAATTTTGTGCAATGTTTTATCACCTTTCTTAAACAGAGGATAGATAATTGATTGTTTAAAACTTTTCGGTACGACGGTACTTTATTAGTTTTGAAAATATTGTTATAAAAATTCAGCAACTTAACTAAAAATGATTCTGAACCGTTTTTAAAGAACTCGTAGGGTATTCCGTCAGCTCCTGGTGCCTTACCATTCTTTACTTTCAGTAAAACTGTTTTTAATTCGTTCAAATTAAATTCTTTATCTAGAAAGTCGTCATGAATAAGAGGAAGCGCATAACAGACATTGGCTGACAGCAGGGGCGGGTTCAAGAGACTCTTAAAGTGTTCTAACCATTCGTTTGGGCTGACTTGACCACCTGTATTAGGACTTAGAATCTTAAAACTATTTATAAGTTTCCATAAACATTTACTGTCTTTAGCCTGAGTCAAAGATAAATACATATTGTCAAAGTAAGCAGTTTTTTTTCTTTAAGTAAATTTTTAATGATCTGTTGGCCTCAATATATTCATTTTTTATCTCAATTTCATCGCTTTTTCTGTACTTTCTCAATAGTTTAAACACATTGTGCCTAGCTTTAGCGCACTGTAAGTCAAACCATGGCTGTTTCCTTGCAAACTTGAAAGAGTTATTTGTATTTGACTTTACTTGTTTAACATGAGCTGACTCTGTAATGCATTGAATGAGACTCTTAACATTTCTTTCCTCGTCTATGTCCAATTGCAAATTTAAAGCAGCAGTGTGTATTCTTTCCTTAAAATTAAAATCATCAAAATTGGTCCACTTTAATCTTGGAAGTAAAGGTAAAACTTGTCCCTCGACTCTGGAATCTAATTCTTTCCTTATCTTAAAGAGTTAATTGTATTGGCAAGTGATCTGACCCAATGTACTCTATCTTAAAATCACTAACTATTTGTAAACAATGAATTGAAACAAGTGCTAAATCTATCACTGACGCTCCCAATTTATTTATGAAAGTAAATTCGCCCTTAGAATCACACTTTGTTCTCCCATTCAATACAAGTAATCCAAAATCATCACACATTTCTAAAATTTTTTTTCCATTTACATTTAAAACTGTATCTTTTGACTTTCGATCATAATTTAGGCATGCATTGGTCAGTGTATTAGTACCTTCAGTAATGTTTTGCTCACTAGAAATTCGACTGTTTAGATCTCCAATTACGATTAAATTTTTACCATTGTTACCATGGATTATTTCATACAAATTTTCAAAATCATTTTCCCAATTGCTATAATTCAAATAAATTGGCAAAATAATAAATTCTCTATTATAGTTTTCTTCCAGAAACTTAAAAGCAGTCATATTTCTAAAATGTTCAAACTTAATATTATTGAAGAATTTTGACTATTTATTCCTAAAACTATACCACCTGACTGTCTACCTAGTGTTGCATTTCTTACTGCAAATTTAAAATCTATCTTAAAGTTAACTAACCTTTTAAAAACTAAATCATGTTGCTCGTGATTAATAAATGTTTCTTGTAAAAAAATTAAATCATACTCATTGACAAAATCTATAAACAAATTATCCTCTAGCTTATTTTTAAGTCCACAAACATTGTATGCTAATATACTAAGTTCCTTGTTCGCTCTGAAAGTAGTGACACTTACAGGATCGGCGTCCACTCCCTAGACCTTGGCACCTGGAGATGAAGCCACGGACTCCACCGGCGATGCTGTCGGTGTCGGTTTGGTCGTACCCGCCGCCGTCGACACGTGCTGCTGCTCCCTCGCCACTTTCGTCGCCTCCGTGTACGTTGTTCTCACATCTGGGTTGCGGTCTGTCCTCTTCACAGGGCCCTTCTCAGCGAGATTCTTAAGAAAATCCGTGAAGTCCTTGCCGAGGATGTGTAGTAGCTTCTGGCCTCCGTCTTCTCTCCCAGCCATCAATTTATTCTCCTCCCAGGTGAAGCGAGTGTTCTCCACCTTCAGATGGTCGTGGACGATCGGCATTCTGAGCTTCCCGGAGACTTTCTCAATTTCCGTACGGACTTCGACTAGATAGGCGCGTTTCGTTCTAACCTCCCGAGTCAAATCTCGATGGACCACGTACCTGGTGCCTTTAAGGTCCCTTACATGAGCCATTATGTATTCAAGGTCGTAGTCATCCGGAATATGCGCTATAATGGCTTTACCGTCCCTCCCCAAGGGGTATGCGCGATTGATCCATAACTTAGACTTATCAGTTCCAAAATGCTCCGAACAGAAGTCCCTTATTATTTGACAAAAATCCGGTGTACCACTCCACTTTAGTCCTCTAAACACGAGATTATTTCGCCGCGAACGACTCTCTAGGTAATTTATTCTAGCAATCAACCTCGAGTTCTGGGTCTTTAATGAGTCTATGTCTTCATTTATTTTATCACATCCCTTACTAAGGTTACCAACCTCCATCGATAAGGTGACTAAATCCTGCTTGGAAGCTAGATTAGCGAGTTTTTGGTCTAGTAGTCTACTTATGTTATCATTTAGTCCCTCTAGCAATTGACCCACAGTCAAACTGCTTACCGCTACACTATCCATATCGCACGTCAATCTAGCACGCCTGTCAGGGTTTGTGTTCGATTCCAACTCTGGTGAACTAGAGTATCTATGTCGTTTAAATCTACGAGGAGTAAAATAATCACTGATTTTGCGGTCGGACATATAACCTCAAAACGTCTGTCACCACGAGGTGTCCTCACTGCTCCACCCGCCCGCACAGACCCGCTCGGCCGCACCACCACAACGCACCACAATATGTCGATTATTTACCTCGGCACACGATTAGCTTCGGGCTGATAGCTGATTAATCTTATGTGGACACTAAATAATCTTTTAAACACAAAATTAAGTCTTCTAACGTCAATAAATCCACTAAAACTGCTAGAAATCTAATCCCCTTTAATTATGAATACTCATAAGGTTAACATGGGGAACCACAGAGCCACTGGGGCGGAGCCCGAGAGGATTTTTGAGATAAGAATATGCCTATATGTTAATTGAGAATGTGAGCTATCATCATGCCAAATTTCAGCCCAATCCGTCCAGTGGTTTATGCGTGATTGAACTTCAAACAAACAAACAAACACACAAACTTTCACATTTATAATATTAGCTATAAGATTGATAACAGCTAATTTGAACTAAAGCAGCAACAAAAAGTTGTGATATGCAATGAGAACTGTCAAAGTAGGATTGTTTACAGTTATGTTTATGTTTTTAATTTAATGAACAATTTGTGATACAGTATTGTGCGAATGTTTGATCATTTATTTTTTTCTATGGTTTAGGTGTACTGGTAGAACAGTGTGGCTATGGTAGATGTGTTATACTAGCATACAGTAAATTTAAAGAACCAAATTTTCTCAAACCGTGTTCTCCCATTGCAAACGCAAAGAACGTGTATAACTGGAATAAGCATTTTATACTTACCTGTACGAAGGGCGGCTACTCTGCTAGAATATATATATATATGTGTGTCCGTTAGCACGATAACTCAAGCAAAAATGATCAGATTTTGATCATCACTCCCTGTTTCGGTAAAAATATTTTTACGTTATTCCATGGGGTTGATTTAGCGGGAAATAATTTTATTTCATCCTTGTACGTTAAGCCGTTTTTCCGTAATAAATTTGAGACACCTTACGTGGGACAGTCTATAGGCCTACATACTGTATGAGCTCAAAGAAGGTCTAGATCTTTCCATGCCGCCTAGGTAATAACTTCTTTCCTATAGGGGAATTTGTTAAAAATCCTAAATCCTCCCTCCATGGCAGAAAATACATAGGTGATACCTCCATATGCAAGTTTTACTCTGCATCGAGTAGGCCTATATGCCACCAGCTATTTTTTACCTGTTTCAGTGAGTCTTGAATCACATTACCTCTATCATACTTCAGCTTACAGTTAAGTTAATTTCAGTGAACGTTGCTGTTTTTTCCTTGGGAAGCTTGTACAGTTGGACTTCGCCCTCCATTCCTAAGCTGAGGGCCAAAGACTCTTGGTTGCCTATTGATACCAATGAGGCGTCATGGATTGGATCTCTAGTGGCGTTTGGCTCCATCTTGGGCCCGTTCCTGGGAGGCTACCTCATGGACCACATTGGTCGAAGACCTACTGTTGTTGTCTCTGTGGCCCTTGCTGTTATGTCCTGGGCTGTTCTGTACCAAGCTACCAGGGTCTGGGAGATCTACATTTCACGAGTGATTGGTGGAATCGGCGGAGGGATCATCTTCACAACTGTGCCCACATACGTAGGTGAAATTGCTGAGGTCAGTTTTTGAATGCTATTTAAAAGTTAGTAAACAACTTCTTTTCTGCTCTTAAACATATATTTTCAAAATTTCTCTGTAACCATGTTATTGTAACAACAATAACTAATATTTAAATTTGCCCATCAGTTCAATGGTCTTCCAGGCTTCCTACTGCTTCACATTGGCTTAAACACCATGATTTTTCATACAAACAATAATGAAAAACACATTAATTTGCTTGAAAGGACTGTACCTTTTATCATCTATCTGTTTTATGCATGATTCCATCAAATTATATCATAGTGAATGTTTTGTGTTCAGGAGATAAAATTTGATTTTGAATGCCTCACACACACTCACATTGAACCTTTCATGGGTGTCCTTGATTTAAAACACATGACACAAGGATTTTTCTGGGGTATTGAAACCTTAGAGAAACAATGTAATTTTATACGATGCAATACAGTATGAGAACCTTGTATAATCAATAGAATTGTTCCTTGAATCAACACAAAACTTTACTTGACATATTTGAAAAAAAAACAACGAAGCAAACAAAAAGAACAATGTCATAGGTATTACACTGCGGAAACTCATTAGCGGGCGGAAACGTAGCTACTAGCTAGAGTACATCGTGCCCTTGGCGAACAGCACTGGGTCACGCCCCCAAGGGGGTATGGGGGGCCGAAAGTTTTTTAAATTTTAGGTGCGAAATAGTTTTTACAAACATCTCATAGGAATTTTAAATAGTTAGATTTGTGTGTTTTAGCAAGTTTATTTAATATCTAATATATTTAAATTTTTTAGGTAGCATAGCTGCTGAATATTCAAGACCACGACGATTATTTAAGAGTCTTCATTAGTGTCGCGATATCATTTTGTTGTGAAAATAAAGGGTAGCTCGGAATTCCACACTCGTGCCATGAATCGTCCGCGAATGTAAATAAGTGTAAATAAAATAGAATAGTGCGTTTTAGTGACTAAGTGTGATAGTTATGTGAGAAGAAACAAGAAACAGCTCCTGATAATGCCACACTTGTGGTGAAATGTACATAGAGCGCTAACTTATAAATTCATCAAGAACCTGGCAACCAAAAGGTAAACAACATAGGTAATTTTCTGTAAAGTTTGTTTTCAATAAAATAAAAAAGCATTTCCCTAGAGAACAGTTATACCTTTAATTTGACACCAAAATTAAATTTTTATGACGACCTGGGAAGGCATTATGTGGTTACAAGTTTAACATTAGTCTTTTGCGACTATCTTCAAGGTCGTGGCACTACTGAAGACTCCTTAAAAAGTCAATTTACTTACAAAAAAATGAAAAATAGACATAGGCCTATAACTGAAAGTTGTTTGCGGCATCATCTTTAGCGATAGTTTGAACTGGTACAAGAGTGTTTAATAATCTTTTAACAGGTTGGCTGTTTTAAAACACCGAAATTGACTGTTTTTTTTAGCCTGCTAGTTCCAAGAGAACAGCTTCAAGCAAGCAAAACACAATTTGTGAAGATACAACGTAATATAGGATATTGTTGAATTGCTTGCCACTACCAATGTTCCAGGATGATAAACGCAGTGCTCTGTCATTACTCTTCAATTTATTCTTCACTGGAGGGTTGCTTGATGAGTACCTGGTTGGTCCCCACGTATCCTACTAGTCCCTGTTCTGAGTGTCATATGTTGCGCACGCTATATTGTTGATATTGTTGAATTGCTTGCCACTACCAATGTTCCAGGACAATGTACGCAGTGCTCTGTCATCATCCTTCAATTTATTCTTCACTGGAGGGTTGCTTGTTGAGTACCTGGTTGGTCCTCACGTATCCTACTGGTCCCTGATCTGAGTGTCATATGTTGCTCACGCTATATTGTTGATATTGTGGAATTGCTTGCCACTACCAAGCTAGTGCTCACGCTATATATTTAAATCTCAAGTTTGATGAATCTGTAAGGGAGCATTTTATTAAACAAAATATATTAACCGTCTATAGTTTGTATATCCTTGAGTGTATTATGCATGTCAGGAAAAATAAAGCCAATTTTACAACACATGAAGACATACATAAATACAATACCAGAAATAAAAAAAAACATAGTCTTACCTTTTCACAATTCTGAGCTATATAAAAAGAAACCATCCTATGCCGGTTCTGTATTCTTAAAACATATCCCAAAAGAAATATTGAACATAGAAAATCAAAACAAGTTCAAAAGCGAACTCAAAAGTTTTTTAATCAGAAATGCATTTTACTCTCTTGAAGAGTTGTACAATTTAATCAGTGTGAATGCTGATGCTGTATGACTGAACAATTCAATGCAATGTTAGATTAAGGAACTGTGACGCTATTTATTGTATTACTGTACATAAAACAAATAAAGAAGTTTTGAATTTGAATTTGAATACCAATGTTCCAGGACGATGTACACAGTGCTCTGTCATCATCCTTCAATTTATTCTTCACTGGAGGGTTGCTTGATGAGTACCTGGTTGGTCCCCACGTATCCTACTAGTCCCTGTTCTGAGTGTCATATGTTGCGCACGCTATATTGTTGATATTGTTGAATTGCTTGCCACTACCAATGTTCCAGGACGATGTACACAGTGCTCTGTCACCATCCTTCAATTTATTCTTCACTGGAGGGTTGCTTGTTGAGTACCTGGTTGGTCCTCACGTATCCTACTGGTCCCTGATCTGAGTGTCATATGTTGCTCACGCTATATTGTTGATATTGTTGAATTGCTTGCCACTACCAATGTTCCAGGACGATGTACAAAGTGCTCTGTCACCATCCTTCAATTTATTCTTCACTGGAGGGTTGCTTGTTGAGTACCTGGTTGGTCCCCACGTACCCTACTAGTCCCTGATCTGAGTGTCATATGTTGCTCACGCTATATTGTTGATATTGTTGAATTGCTTGCCACTACCAATGTTCCAGGACGATGTACACAGTGCTCTGTCACCATCCTTCAATTTATTCTTCACTGGAGGGTTGCTTGTTGAGTACCTGGTTGGTCCCCACGTACCCTACTAGTCCCTGATCTGAGTGTCATATGTTGCTCACGCTATATTGTTGATATTGTTGAATTGCTTGCCACTACCAATGTTCCAGGACGATGTACACAGTGCTCTGTCACCATCCTTCAATTTATTCTTCACTGGAGGGTTGCTTGTTGAGTACCTGGTTGGTCCCCACGTACCCTACTAGTCCCTGATCTGAGTGTCATATGTTGCTCACGCTATATTGTTGATATTGTTGAATTGCTTGCCACTACCAATGTTCCAGGACGATGTACGCAGTGCTCTGTCATCACTCTTCAATTTATTCTTCACTGGAGGGTTGCTTGTTGAGTACCTGGTTGGTCCCCACGTACCCTACTAGTCCCTGATCTGAGTGTCATATGTTGCTCACGCTATATTGTTGATATTGTGGAATTGCTTGCCACTACCAATGTTCCAGGACGATGTACGCAGTGCTCTGTCATCACTCTTCAATTTATTCTTCACTGGAGGGTTGCTTGTTGAGTACCTGGTTGGTCCCCACGTATCCTACTGGTCCCTGATCTGAGTGTCATATGTTGCTCACGCTATATTGTTGATATTGTGGAATTGCTTGCCACTACCAATGTTCCAGGACGATGTACGCAGTGCTCTGTCATCACTCTTCAATTTATTCTTCACTGGAGGGTTGCTTGTTGAGTACCTGGTTGGTCCCTACGTATCCTACTGGTCCCTGATCTGGGTATCGTGTGTTGCTCCCGCCATATTCCTTTTGTTTAGCCCTTGGTTGCCAGAGTCTCCATACTTCCATCTGCAACACAACTATGATGACAAGGCTTTGATCAACCTTATATGGCTCAGGAAAGGAATATCAAAAGAGCAGGCTGAAGAAGAAATCAAGACTATTAAGGTAAAATTATATGCATTAAATGTTTCTTTTTAGTTCCCTGTAAACTTTATAACAATAATTTACTTTCTGGCGACCGTACTGCATGATGGTGTTCAGATGTTCCAATCAGAGCGTATCAAACTGAAGGTCTGCTATATAAAAATAGAGCCCATGAGTTAAAAATATAAATTAAGCTTTCTTTGATCAAAGTTAAATTTTTGTACTGTATATTGTAATAGTACATTTCGTACCTAGGGCCGAAAATGAGGTTTTGCCGGCTCGAGATAGTTTTTAAGTTCAAGACGAAGTCGAGAACTTAAATCGATCGAGAGCTACAAAACCATTTTGGTCTGTGGTACGAACGCTATTTTTCACCACCCTATTACCACTATTCACCACAATAATAATGCACACTGATAGTCAACACAACTACAACTTTAAGGTTATGTCAAGAAATAATTTGAGGAATCAGCAAAAATAAAAATAAATAGTTGCTAGGCATCGGTGAATTTTTTTTTAACATAGTTTTATTTACAATCTGTTTTGCATTAAACAATAAGTAAATATGATGGCATTTTTAACAATAAAATAAAAATTGGAATGCATGAGTTAGCAGCTAAACAGTTTTAGCACTAACATAAAAAACAAAAAAAAACAAAGAAAATAAATTTCAGAGCTGCTGTACAAATCGAGTCGGAAGGTCTAAAACATTTTCTCTTTTTAGTCTGTAGACATGTTGACTGTTGTCTATGAGGTTGAGGGCCAAATGGTTCGGATGATACTCAAGCTTTGAGATGTATTTTTTACTGCAGCTCGTAACTTCTTCAGTAACAAATGGAATTTTGCAATCATTGTGAATGGTGACGTTGGATACATACCAAGGGGCTTTCAGGATGGTTCTTAGTAATTTTGACTGAAATCTTTGTAATATATCCAAGTTTGATTTTGAAGCTGTTCCCCACAAAGAAATGCCATATGTCCAAATTGGTTTGAGGACAACCTTGTAAAGCAATAATTTATTTTCTATTGACAGTTTTGAATTTTTATTCATGAGCCAGGCTATTTGTCGAAACTTTGAATTTAGATGTTGCCGTTTGTTCCAAATATGGCTTCACCAGGTAAGTTTTCTGTCGAGGTGGATGCCCAAATATTTTACTTCATTGTGGTGAGGCAGAAGTACGTTGTTTAAGTGGACTGGGGGACAGTTAGCTGTTCTGGTGGTGAATGTTATGTGTGCAGACTTGCTTTCGTTCACTTTGATTCTCCATTTTTGTGGCCACGTGGAAAGACTGTTTAGGCCAATTTGTAGTGTTTGAGAAGCTAAAAATGGGTCGTCATGGGATGTTAGGAGTGCTGTGTCGTCTGAAAATGTAGATAAAAATTAATTTGGATTTTCAGGTAAGTCTGGCGTATATATGAGATACAGAATTGGTCCCAGGACGCTTCCCTGCGGTACACCTGACTCTATTTTGTGTAGCTTGGTGTAAATTCCTTGGTGTTTTATTCTAAAAATGTCTGTTTTCCAGGTAAGATTTAAACAATAGAAAACAGTTATAGGGAGAGAACGTTTAATTTTTAATGAAAGTCCAGGATGCCTTTCTTTATCAAAGGCTTGGCTTACATCAAGAAACGCTGCAGAGCAATATTCTTTTTTCTCCAGGCTCTGTCTTATTCTGTCTGAAAGTCGGTGCACTTGTTGAAATGGTAGAATGGTTTTGACGGAAGCCAAATTGATGATTAGGTATAACATTATGTTCATCCAACAGTGGGCCTAGTCTTTTTAAAAGTAGTTTTTCGAATACCTTAGACGTTATGGGAAGGAGACTGATAGGCCTGTAGGTTACTTCATTTGGGGGTTTTCCAGGTTTTGGTAGAACGATAATTTCTGAAACGTTCCATTGAGTCGGAAAGTACTCGAGGCGGAGAATGGCATTGAATACCAGAGTAAGGAACTTAAAACCTTTCTCAGGGAGCTCTTTTAATATTTTTGCAGTGATTAAATCATATCCTGGTTATTTATTTAAACCTAATTCATGGAAGAGGCATATTTTTAATTCATTTTTTGTGAATGTTTATGGATAGGCAAATCCAGTTGATTGGGTGAATCCAGATATTCCTGTACCTCAGGAGAGTTTGTTGCACTGGTATGCGGCGTAAATACTTGGGAGAAGTGGGACGCAAATAATTTTGCTTTTTCGTCCAAGCTTTTAGCCCACGAACGATCAGGTTTTAATAATGGGGGAACAGACGATTTTGGTCTCTTGAAGTTCTTTGTTACCTTCCATAAAGAGTAGTTTGATGCTTCTGTTGAAGAAAGATTACTTGTATATTCCTGAAACCATTCGTTTTTAACGTGTCTTAAAAGTCTTTTCAAATTTTGGGACGCTCTATTAAAGTTGGTTTTACTATTTATATTCAAGATTATTCTTTTCAAGATTATATTTCAAGATTATATATTTATATTCCGTGTATTCTGCCACACTCTTCTTAATTTACGTTTCTCCGCTATGAGTTTCTTTATTTGAACAGGATAGTTAATGCCATCGTTAGTTCGCAGTCGAGACGATGACATGAGGGTTGCTTCCCAAGCACATTGTTGAATTACATTGTTAAAAAATTCAACTGCATCGTCGATTTCTTCGTTGGTTTTTAAGGAAATTGATAGATCTAGTCTATTATTGACAGTCTCTTTAAAGTGTAACCAGTTTGTCTGTATGTTATGCAAAGTAGGGGGTGCTTCTTTGTTCTTTGACAATTATTGTCGAGCTTACTGTTAGAATTACAGGCAAATGGTCTGAAGACATAGCACAATTCTATTGCAATGCTATGGATTTTGATTGTGTATTTAAAATGCATTCATGTTTTAAGTAAGTAAGCGGACAGCTGATTTTGCGGCCCCGGGCTGTAAAAACCTGCTCGGTCCCCAAATTACGATGACAGCTAGCATGGCCAGCAAAACGTAACTTTCAGCCACCAATTAACGTAGGTATGTAATACAGCCAAAAACATCATAGTGTGGTGAAAAATTCTTTACAGTTGAATAATTTTTAGCTAGAAGCAGTCGAGATGGGATGGACTGTCTTTGACGATGAACTTATTTGTTTGTGATGTAATCATAATATGTTTTTTTCTGTAATGAGATGTCTTTGTTTTTCATGCAATTATAAACAAATGTGTTTTAAATTGAGTTTTGTCTTTTAGCGGCTGAGTTGTATTACTTACTTTACTAGCTTGTACCCGTACATTGCATGGGTTGGAAAAGAATTATTGTAGGGGCAAGCAAGCAGTAAACTTTTGGGTCTAGTTCACATTACCAAAAACCTGCAAGCTTTGAGCTTTTTCTATCCGAGTATTTTCTATTGAAGCTGCATGGTTGATTACTTGAAAATATCAAAACAAATTTGAAATAGGTACTTGACTTGGTATATGAAAAACATTTAAAATAAATATTATAGTTTACACTACTTTGGAAAACAAATACTTAATACTTTTGTGCTTTCATATACTGCAAAAATAATACTGCATACCAGGATGTGTTCTTCAGTGGTTGCTGGTATTGCTTTTAATTTTTGTATTGCTGAAAAAACTTATTTAGTAAATAATGTAGATATAACTTGATTTTGTGAATGGGTAATTGATTAGTATGAAGAAATAAAAGTGATGATAAATCAAAACAGGTACCGGTAACAAAGTTTTTTAATTAATTTCTGTAAAACATTTTTATATACAATATTGACAGCTTGATTTCCTTTGGGGAGTATACAAAGGTTCTTTCAATTCGAGACTCTTGAACAGGCGACATAAAGTTGTCCATGACTGAAACAGTCTTTCTGCAAGTTTATCCCTACAAACTTCATAGTTTGTCCTTGGGCTTTGTTAATAGTGATGGCAAATGCCAGTTTCGAGAGAAACTGAATTCTTTTGAAATTAAATGGAAGATCTGTCGGGATTATTGGTATTCGTGGGATTACAACGTGTTCCCTTTAGCGCAACCTGTCATGATTTTGGCACTAATCAAATTACTTTTTAGTTCTGTTATAACCAATCTGGTACCGTTGCAAAGTCTTGGTGCATCCAAGCTGCACATCAACAGAACAGGTGTACCAACTTTTAGTTTGAGTTTGTGTGAAGGGACTCCAGACAATTCTAAACTATCAAAGGGTAGTTTGTAGCACTTTCCTCATTCACAACACTGTATCAATTGAGAAAAATGTAATATCTTCAGAGGGCAATTTCTTCAGCAAAGTGTCATTTATAGTGTTTACTGTCTCATTTAAGGGCGATAAAATGCTGCGATCACAAACTCACTTGAAAGATGGTTTGTTTCAAAGTATGGAAATACGGAGGAAATAAGATCTTCAGTTGATTTGACTAGCTTGCAGAAATTTCCCGGTAGTTCAATTATTTGCTGCTCATTTATTAGAATCTTACCTTCACCTATATTTTCAGCAAGTTTAATGCAAATTCGCCGGCATTGCTGTAATTGTGAGAACCCGCATGTTTTCTGGTTTTGAGGAACATATTCTTGAAGATCACTGGAGTTGTATGACAATTCTCGGAATATTTAGGAGTTTGCTTCAACATTAATTTGAGGATTTGGGAGTCCAAAAAAACTCAGTTTCTTTCCACACATTTCAAAAACCTTTTTTTTCAATTTCACGAAGTGCCTCATCATACACAATATCATATGCCTCTTCAAGTTGAAACCTGTGCACAATATCTTCAGACATTTGGATTCAGAATGTTTCCCGAGTTCTGTTGGATTATACATTCAACATGAACTTAGCATTAAGGAGAAGAGGTAGTGGACGTGCGAGGGTGATCTGTATTGTACTGCTTCTTCGAGTGTGTTCTTCCATATTTGGTAATCTTCTAAAAGGTTTGTTTATCCACAGTGAAAAGACCCAGAATTGGCTTATGATCTGTTCTAATTTCAAAATGCCAACCATTTAAGTAATTGTGAAATTTCTTAATCTCTCCAATGATGGAAAGTGCTTCCCTATCTACTTGAGCATATCTTCGTTCTGACTGACTCATTGTCCTGGAATAAAACGCAATTGGAACTTCCTTTTCCCCTCGAATCTGACTAAGCACACAACCAATACCATAAGGAGATGCATCACAAGTTAGTATAAGATGGCTGGAGGTATTTTAATGAGCCAGTATACTATCGGAAGAAAGGAGCTTCTTTGAAGCATTGAAAGCAATTTTATGTTTTTCTTCCCACCGCAATTTAACATTTTTGTCCAATAAGCGATGTAAAGGTTCTGCAACATTGGCTTTGTTGGGTAAGAAACAGTGATAGAAATTGAGTAACCCTAAAAATGCCTGCAGTTGTTCCTTGTTAGTCGGCTCAGGAGCATCTTGGATGGATTTGACTTTGTCCGGGTTAGGACGAATCCCGTCAGAGCTCACAACAAATCCCAAGAAGTCCACTGATGTAGATAACAAAGAACACTTTTCGCTTTGGAGTGTGATTCCTGCATCTCTAAAACGAGTGAATACTTGTCTTAATGTGGTAATCAATTCATGTATTGTTCCTGCTTTAACCAAAATATCATCAAAGTAAGGGATTACATTGTCTAAGCCCAAAAGCAAACCCTCAATAAAATGTTGAAATATAGATGGAGCTGAGCTAATACCGAATTTTAGTCTTTTTGGTTTAAAAGCACCCTTGTGTGTGATTAGTGTCTGAGCTAGCGCCGACTTCTCGTCAACAACCAATTGTTGATAAGCTTGGGCTAAATCTAACTTAGCAAAATATTTTCCCTTGGTTTAATTTGGCTAAGAGTTGAGAGATTGGTGGAATAGGGTACAGATGATCTTGGATAGCTTTGTTTAACGTTACCTTATAATCACCGCAAATATGTATTTTACCATTGCTTTTTACTTAAACAACTATTGGCGTGGCCCAATCCGAGACCTGAACAGGTTCTAACACTCCCTGATTAACTAATTATAGCTCTTCTTCTACTGGGGCCTGCATTGCATACGGTAAAGGGCGCGCTCTTAAGTGAATTGGGTTATAATTCTGGTCAATTTTCAGTTCGATTGGAGGCCCTTTATAACACCCTAAAGAATTTGAAAATACATCAGAAAATTCACTTTTCAGATGTTGAACATCCAGCTGGGCTTTACTTAGAACATCAGATTCATGGCAGTTGAGTGAAAGTTTACTTCAATATTAAGACTTTTTAGCCAGTTACGCCCCAATAAACTATTTCTATTACCTTCAGTTATGGCTAACGGAAGGAATCCATTGAACTTACCGTATTTCACATAAACATTAGTCTGACCTAAAACACTTACAGGTTTACCACTGTAATCCTTAAGTTTCCAGGGAGAAGGTTGCAGTTTACAGTTTTTATGAGAAATTTTATTCCATATAGTTCCCCTCCTATGATAGAAACACCTGCACCAGCAGTGACGTAGCCAGGGGGGGGGGTCCTGGGGGTCCGGACCCCCCCCTTCTGGTCTTAAATATAATATATATTTTTTTAATTAAATGTAGAATTATATAATCTTACTGTATTGACGTTGGGGTTGATTATTTTCAATGCCAAGAGAGCTAAAAAGACCGTTTTAGGGTCTATATTTTTAAAAATTTTCCCGGACCCCCCCCTTTACCTGGACTCCCCGGTCGGTCGACCCCCCCTATTTTGAAATCCTGGCTACGTTACTGGCACCAGTATCAACTTCCATTAGAACTTTGTGATTACAATTAATTATTAATGTGTAATGACAGTTGTACACCGTTCCGGAACTTTAGAGCAATTAACTTCCTCGACGTACTGAGTTGTTTCGTTACTTGATTGAGGTGGAAACGTTTCTTCTTGTTCACAATTGGTTTCCTCTGACAAAACTTCATGAGCCCGTTGTCCCTCTGGACGTACTGAGTTGTTTCGTTACTTGATTGAGGTGGAAACGTTTCTTCTTGTTCACAATTGGTTTCCTCTGACAAAACTTCATGAGCCCGTTGTCCCTTTGATCCGTGTTTTTGGTTGAAATATTCTTTGGGGCATGGTCTCCCTCCTTTACAAACTCGTGCTAGATGCCCAATTTTCTTGCAAATATTACAAATAGTCTGAAGATGGGGGCAATCCCTTCTAAAATGTCTTAGTCCACAACCAAGACAAACATTAGGCGTATCAGAGTGAGCTGGATTGTTGGTAAATGCAAATTTCCTGTTTGAATGGTCAATTTTATGTGCATTAGCAAAACTTGAGCCACTAAAAGAAAGTTCCTTACTTTAAATTTGAAATAATTCATTTGACTTAGCTGCAGTAACAATATCCTGAATAGTAGGTTTTTCAAGATTTCATTTCTTAACTCATCACTCCTACAACCAATCAAAATTTGCATAATTAATTCCCTATCTAAGTCTTTGAATTCATAGTTCACAGCTAATGTTCTTAGCCGAGAATAGAAAGAGTTAAACGATTCTGCTTCTGCTTGACGACACTTCCTAAAATTAAATATTTCAAAAAGGATATTTTTGGTAGGAGCAAAATAGTCAGTTAATAATGTTATCACATTTTTGTATGTTATTTCATTAGGTTGTGGTTAGCTGTCAAAAATGTAAGCCACATCCTCACCAGCTAGATTAAGTAGTAGTGCAGTTTTCCTTACATCATTGGTAATGTCTGCAGCTAAAGCATACCTCTCAAATTGCTTAATCCACGTACCCCAACGCTGTGCGACACTTGCAGGATTCGTATGAGGGTCAAAACGATCAGGCTTATTGAGATCCATTATTCAATATCCTCGTCGCCAATTTAGTATATTGAAGCATAATTAAGAAAACCAAATTTATTGAACTCAGACTAAACTAAAAAGTAAACAAAACATAATAATATAAACAGTCATCAGACAGATGTTATAAATAAAACATATGGACTTATTTCTTGATACATAACACCTACCTAAATACACTTTTCACCACACTATGATGTTTTTGCCTGTATTACATACGTTAATTGGTGGCTGAAAGTTACGTTTTACTGGCCATGCCAGCTGTCATCGTAATTTGGGGACCGAGCAGGTTTTTACAGCCCGGGGCCGCAAAATCAGCTGTCCGCTTACTTACTTATAACATGAATGCATTATAAACACACAATCAAAACCCATAGCATTGCAATAGAATTGTGTTATTGTCACCGTTACCATGCCGTTACATAGCAACTATTTATTTGTATTTTTGCTGATTCCTCAAATTATTTCTTCACATAACCTTAAAGTTGTGGTTGTGTTGACTATCAGTGTGCATTATTATAGTGGTGAATAGTGGTTATAGGGTATAGTGTGGTGAAAAATAGCGTTCGTACCACGGACCGAAATGGTTTTGCAGCTCTCGATCGATTTAAGTTCTCGACTTTGTCTCGAACTTAAAAACTATCTCGAGCCGGCAAAACCTCATTTTCGGCCCTAGGTACGAAATATACTATTACATGCATCTCATTTCCATATAAAAGTAAGAATGAAAATATTTTTGATGTTTAGGTAGAAGAAATTTTTAGATGTAAGATATTTGAAGTAATGTTGGGTGTTCATAACATTCAAAACACTAGCTGGTTATCCTGTATGTATTTGGTTTCCCTCTGTTACAGGAATCTGTGGAAGAGTCAAAGAAATCCAAGGGGACGTTTTTTGACTTGTTCAGCACCAGGGGCAGACGCATGGCCTTGCTGCTGTCAATAGGATGTGTATTTTTCCAGCAGCTCAGTGGCATCAACGTACTTCTGTTCTACTCCCAGATGATATTTGAGATGGCTGGCCAGATGACACTGGACCCCAGTGAGTCCACCATTCTTGTGGCTGTGGTGTTACTGTCGGCAGCCGCAGCAGCTGTTCCTCTTACTCACATGTTTGGCATTAAAATAATGCTTCTTGTCTCCGCTCTTGGCATGTCATTCTTTCTGGTAGGTTTGGTTACCACGATAGAATTTTCCCTTGAGTACAGAATGACACAAATTAAACATTATAAATCTGTATTAGTTCTGTTGAGTCAGTCGTAACTTTGGAGACATTGTCGTTAAGGAAAAAAATTCAATAGAAATGTCTGATGAAGCTCAACTGGCCAAGTTAAATTGGAATTTTAACTTATAAATCCAACTGTTTGGCAAAACCCCAAGTGTTTTATCGATACAAAAGCTAATCAGTTGCCTCTGAAAAACCAAGATAAAATAATACCCATTATTGGGGTTTCCTGAATGGCAGGTTTAAACTACTAGGAATGAATCAATTTTCGTTCTTATATATTGCATTTTCATCCTTATCGGTTTTAATGGGTAGTTCAAAAGTTCCTTGTTCTTATATATCCTATATTAGTAGCTTCTGTCTTTGTAGAGTAATGACTTGGATGGGTCAACAGCCAATGGTCCTTCAACTAGTTATACTTTAACTCCAGAATACCTCACCATTCTCATATTGAACCATACAGTAGAATTAAAAATTACGTCTCTAATATGATGCACACTTTGTATTGATACTATCGTTTCCTATTATGGTTAATACTGAACAAAATATCACCGAAAAGTGTATTATTCAATAATCCAGGTAGAAATATTATTACTTGATATAAATATTTTTTTCTACATTAAAAATCAACAACAAAAACTTGCAAAATTACTACTTATAACAAAAATCATGTAGATATAACCATAGGATAATTAACCAACAGAAGTAGAATTCTCATCCCATTGTAAATTTTTAATCTTGTTTTTCGTGTCTAGTTCATGTCCGGTGACACTGATCGCTAGTGTCGACGAAATGTTTTTTTCTATTATTTAGGGTAAATTCCATGAGTTGTGCTTTACTGTAGGGGACGAGTTATTGTTTATGCACAATAAAATTGGCTTCAGCTGTTGTGGATGAGAAATCCACTAAAGGAGTATGTTTTATCATTGACTATTGGATACTGAAGGTTTTATCTATGATAACCATTGAACACAGCTTGATATATTTTTAGGGTTTGCTATCATTGTATTTCTATATACTGGAAGAGGGAAACGATACATCTAGTTACAGTTGGTTGCCAATTGTTAGCGTGATTGGTTATGTCATCATTTACTCATTTGGTAAGTTGGTAAAATAATGTGTGTGTGGTTTTATTTAAATCTTTTGTTTAGAAATTGAGTTTTAGTTTTAACCATATATTAATGGCCAAATGTCATGGTATCAAGGGCGGTCCCAGGGGGGGGGGGTCAGGGGGGTCATGACCCCCCCCCCAAAATATTGTTTATATACATAAACTATTATACCAGGGAAACATTAATAATTTTTATTGCAAATCGTTTTACCAAATTGAAATTTGTTGTAGTCTTTACACTTGTAGCGAACGAAAGGACTAATTACAAAGTCTAACCTAAAACTTGGGATCGTTCAAGTCTGATTATGTTTTTGTACGTTATGAAAAGTAGGGAAGATCGGCAGAAAACGGACGCTTTCAGCCATAATTTTTATTGCAAATCGTTTTACCAAATTGAAATTTGTTGTAGTCTTTACACTTGTAGCGAACGAAAGGACTAATTACAAAGTCTAACCTAAAACTTGGGATCGTTCAAGTCTGATTATGTTTTTGTACGTTATGAAAAGTAGGGAAGATCGGCAGAGAACGGACGCTTTCAGCCATATATGCGGCAACAGCAGTGTCCGATGCTGACATTCGACGTTCGGCTGCATTCTTCTTCTTATTTAATTTTTCGGCATTTAATATTATAATTCATTTTAACCCAGATGATTGAAAACTTGAATTGGGTATTGGATAATAAAAAGAAAAGAAGTTGTATCAATAGTCAAAGTTTGAAAGGTAGTTGAATATTAATTTATCTGAGTTCAGCGTTAGGAATTTGTAATTACAGTAATGTAATTCAATGATTACCGTAGCAAATTTCAGAACTTTCAATATTAAATAGTACTGTATTCATTTTAGAGCACCTGATATCATATTTAAGAATAACACAACCCATTTGGCATGTTGCTAGCGACAAAACAACAACAAAATGGTAGTGTCTCAGACTTAGATGCGGAAGGGACGGATTTAATTCCCGGCACAACCACAAAAACGTTGCACAAAAACTTTATTCTCACGTTGACCCCTTGTAAAATGCCACTGGCACTGGTGTAGAAAAAAATGAGAACACTGAGAACCAATTCTTCAAACAGTAGCAATGACGGGACGCCGACGCAACGTTAGTTGGGTAGTGTACTTTGTATAGGTTGCTTACTGGGCAGGTATAATGCAGTCGTGTTTGGTGCAAGTTCTTAAACACTTCTTAGATAAAATAAGTTCTCTTTTTCGAAATCTTGGTCTGATTTTGGACATTTTCTGTTTAGCATGCACATCGGCACCAGTTGAAAGGGTGTTCTCGCAAATCAATAATGCTTGAATTTGTTGTAATGTTGCGGTATTCCTTTGATATTAAAACCACAAGTCTCAATAATGCAAAAACATGACATTATACAAGTTTATTTTTAGACATTTCTTTCACCTTTAAATAAACTGGGAAGGTTGAACACATTAAACTAGGCCCTTAAAATAGCTTAAAAACCACTCATTTTAGCACGTTATTTTCAAATTTTTTTCCATACCCCCCAGGCCCCCCGGTGACCCCCCCCCCCCAAAATATATGTCTAGGACCGCCCTTGCATGGTATACATATAATTTACATCTAAATTCTAACAAACAAATCCTGGAGCAACAATCACTAAGATTGAGATGAAATTTATATTTATACAGGGGTGCTCATCCCCCCCTAGACTCATGACGCACCCCCCCCCCAATTAATTACCAGCCCCCCCTCCATAAATGAGGTACACAAAAAATGTGAAACAGTATTCCCCCGCCCAGCATTATTTGTAAAACTAGTTTTATACATTTTTTGGATATTGAAAATTCAAACCCAGTATTATATATAAACTAGTGAACCCGTGCTGCTCATCGCGCCGCAAAACAACATATCAATTTAGAAAACAAATCCATCGTGTTATATATTGATTCTAAGTCGAAAATAAAATACAGTAATGAATGAAGCCTTAGATGGAAAGTAGAGAATCCATTTTCTATCCTATTTTATTTACAAAAGTACTTCCTTGAATAACTTACTAAGTTTTTAGTTGTGAAATCAATCACCTTCAGGAAAATTACCCTGGTCAGAATTTTCCGCGATGAATATGGGTACACCATCAAAATATGTAGCCCTACTTAAAGCAACATAAAGCCCATGACTGAAAACTGGTCTGGGTAAGAGCAGTGCTACTCTTTTAAGTGATTGCCCTTGTGCTTTATTGATTATCATTGCAAATGATAAAGCTAACAGAAATTGGCAGCATTCCATTTTAAATGGTAAGTTTGTTTCCAACGGGCACATTTTTATCCTCGGAATCAAAATATGTCCCCTGTCACTTGTTCCAGTTAGGACTTTTACATTCTATTAAATTGTTAACCATTTTGGCCACTTGGAGTCTTGTTCCATTAATGAGGCCCTTCTTGGTGTATTGATATTCCTCATCAATAAAACCATTGCCCCGTTTTTAAATCAATCTGTGTCTTGGCAATCCACCGACCTCCATATTGTTTAAAAACTCTGCTGGGCATTCTAGATGGGCGTTTAAATTACCTCCAAGCAAACTATAAATGATTTCGAATACTTTGGGCTCAGCTGGCAATTTTTTCAAGACTTTGTTGTTGATCAAATCACAGTCACTGTTTTTGGAGCTATGGCTTTGTCTTTCATTTTGACCATTTTGTATACTTTCAACGACGTTTGGTTGGATGAAATCATCAGCGCATCCAACTCCAAGCATTTTTGCTGGCAAAATGGGGAATCCATCAGCTTCCTATCAGCTTTAGCCTATTTGAACTCTTTAATTTCCTGCTCGTGTACGTATTGCGTCATGAAGTTTCATATATAGCTCTGCTCGAAGTTTTGACTGTTCCCTATGAATGAAACCGAGACGTTCACCTTCAATTCTGGTAAAAATTTCCACTATATATTGAAGTTTAACCTTACCACCACAGCAGAATACTGAAGCCTAACAGATAGCCTGTGGGCCTCCGGTGTGTAGTTGTCGAGTCGATCCCTCCATAAGGGAAAAGCAAGGGATAGGCTATTGTATCAAGACCTGAACAATGTGCAGCCAAATCTTCTGGGGTCCCATTTTTAGGATAGGTACACAACAAATAATTTAAAAAAATTTGTATAGCAACAAACATGAATTAGTAGTATAGGATTTGTTTTGTTTTGTTTTGATTTATAAATAAATTGTCTGGTAGATCAGCTGTTTCGTGTCAAATTTATGAATGTCAAAGATTTGTGATTTTAAATAGGTATTACAGTAGCCTACAGTTTTGTAAATCATGGTAACTTTTTCTCAACTAAATTTTACTATTCCCAGCTTTAAAATAAAGTAGTATGATCCATTATTAGTATACTTTAATATACATTCGTTACCAAATTTGATAACATTTAATATACATTAACAGTCATAATAAACACTAATTTTTTATGTAGTGGACTTTGACTATTTTCAACTAAAAACATATGTTTTTATAAATTAAAAATATCTCCCATGTTATCCTTATGGAGAAAAAACTGACTTTAAGGGCCTCTGACGCCCTTACCAACGACTTTATCAAAAATCTAATACCGTTGGGCACAACTACACGTTTTAACCTTTATTTTGAGACCTCTAACGTCAAAATTGGGCAAATAATAACGGAGGAGTTCGATTAACAAAATGGCTTAGCCTATTATATATATAGAAGATAGATAGATAAAGTTATAGAGAACTCCACTACTGAACTGTGAGAACTGTGTGTGTCTGTATACATTGCTCAGAATTAAACATATTTTGGGTTATTTTTACGTTTTATGCATTAAAGAAGTTGAAACAAGTCTTATCAAAAACCCAATTTTGTGTGGTTTTTTCAAGTTTTTAATCCATGTTTACTACAAACGTCATTTATGAAATACTAATAATCTGTTAAGAGAACACGTCATATATGAAATTACGAACAGCTGTTTTGATAAAGATTCCTTTTTCTAGCTGTCACTTAATATGTTTACATAAATAATGTTGTTTACGAATACTGTGTAGGTCCTAACCATTTCCGATCACGTTTGTAAGCAAATCCAAAACCAAGTGAGATTAATAACCGTGTGGCTTACATAATGGATTTGATTTATCACTGATACTAATATGTAACTGTAAATTAAATGAAATAACTAGCCATCATCCAGGTCGGGAACCGGAGATTCTGTGTGTATCAAGCTGTAATTGAATTTTGATTACTGGGAAAAGACCGTGAATCAGTGTTATACAGGACTAGAAAACTTATCTTTCTATATAAATAAAATTAGAGTTTTATAAGTCACCTCAATTTAAGGAATTTTTTATTGCCAGAATATCTACATAGCGTTCGTAACCTTTGCTTAACGAATTGTCAGCGTCTTTCTCTTCATATAACAACCCCCTCTCCCTCCCACATAACCGTTTTTGAAAAATCACAGCTCCTTTGATGAAAATGAAATGGAAAAATTACTTCAACTTTAACGCTTGCGCCAACAATCGTCTGCTCCGTTTTGATTTCAGATACAACAGCTGGGGAATGATGACGATATAATGCCTAGTAAACTGTGATTGAGTGATTAGTATAACCATGGTAACTATAGTAGGCTGTGATTGGGCAACGAGTAAATATGGGCACTTGTTGAATTTGTGTTTGAATATTGAAGAGAACCCTAAGAAAGAACAGAAGAAAAAATATAAAGAATAACAAAATTGTTCTCGTTACATTCTTTTTAAGAGTGTTTTTATCATCTTGAAATATTTTACACTTTTGTATTACTTGTCTATTAATTCCTATGTTGTGACACAGCACCTACCGGTAGCCTATCTGTCTATCATGAGCAGTAGCTTACAAAACTTTCTAAGGTTTAATATTTACCTTATTTGTAGCAATACAGTGTTTGGCTAGTTATTAGTTGAGTTTGAGTGAGCTGTAATTTTAAACGTTGCCATTTATACAACTGAACCAAGATAAATTATTTGAAATGTCATTATTGCACAATAATAATGATAGTGCAATATTGAATTTTGTTGATAAAAATGCAAATTGTTTTAATACTATATTGGATTAGCCATATTTTTCATTCCCCCCCCCCTTTTATTATCACAGGTAATCGAGTATAGGCTACTTGATTGTATTTTAACGAGCTTTATGTCAACAAAGCGTTCTGTGCTAAAGTCGCGGTGTAGCTGGACTGTCTGTACCACGCGTTATCTTTATCTATCACAGCAGTTAAGCCATTCATGCCCTCCCTCTTAGATCTCACGTCTTGCTAATCTTGAATAATAACTTCCTACACGAATCCTAAACTATCCTAAAATCCTATTTTAACTAATTGAATTCAATAGTATAACTATTGTCATTAATTAATCGACTTTCTATCTAGTGACTTCGTAATATATTTTTGATTGTCGTCACGTTGAACACTGTTGCAATTAACTTTAGCCCCCCCCCATTTTAATTTTTGCAACCCCCCCCCAAGAATTTCAATGACGCAGTCTGTGTCACAGCCCCCCCCCCCTTATGGGCACCCCTGATTTATAGTTCAAATCTATACCATCGATTTAAACATTTCAATTTTAAACTATAGGATTAGATACCCTATCTTAGGGAAGAGTTTCAATGTGTGATATACTCTACTTGATCTAACTATGATAATTGTTACATTTAACAATTAATTAACCTCATCTAGCTAATTTAATGTTTTAGTAAAATATGAATTTCCAAAAAATAACTTTATGAATTTGACTATACCTTAATCAATTTGCACTGCTAGTGTCTTATCAGAAACATAAATTTGAAAATATAGTGCAATCGCCTCTGTGTATTAATTATATCTTTTCCTTTAAACAAAATCTTGACTGTTGGTATGTTCTATTGCAGGGTTTGGTCCACTCCCTTGGGCTGTCATGGCAGAAGTCTTCCCACCAAATGTCAAAGGAATTGCCTCTGCTGTCACGTCATCAAGTTGCTGGGCAATGGGATTTGTTCTCACCAAACTGTTCCCTATTTTATCAGAAAAAATTGGCACACATTCTCTTTTCTTCTCATTCTCAGTGTTTTCTGTAATTGCTTTTTTCTTTATACTAATTTTACTACCTGATACAAAAGGAATGCCTCTGCAAGAAATACATATCATGTTAGAGGGATCTCAAAAATCACAGCCCGATCATCAAATTACAAGTTCAGATTTGTAAATAATGTACAAAATTATTGTTGGCTAAGACGGATATATCTGCCAAATCAAATTTTATTTTCTTTATAACTTTAGTTCAAAAATTTGTTCAGCACTTAGGAAAATCTGTTATGATCCATGAATAATTTCGAGCAAAATAAATTCAAAACATAACCACTTTAGTTTTTGAATTTTGGCAACAACAAAAATTAAGCTCCAGCCCTTGATTTAATTTGGCCATGTATAAACAATAAACAAATATTCCTCCATCAACTTTTATTTTTTACATTATGATATTTTTTACTTTTTCAATACACACATGTAAAACAAAGTTTAAGAAGACATAAAATACTCAGTAGCTTTCCTTGGACCAAGCTCAATAGATTTTAGAATCTCGGAGGCAGATTTATTTTTAGTTTCTGGTACAAAATTGTACGTGAAAATTACACCAAGAAAACATGATGTTGCAAAAAAAGCAAAAGTTGCTGAATTTCCAAATAAGTCAACACTGCCAATAAAACTCTTTGTGATCCAGAAAGTTAACAAATGTGTGTAAAGGACAATGAGGGAGTTTGCCCAGCCTTGGACAGACCGAGGGCAGAGTTCAGCTACCATGAACCATGGAATGCAACCAAAACCAATACAAAAACCAACCATGTAGATACACAATGCAGTAACTGCCAGCAGGCTCATCCCTGGGAGTAAAGTGGGACCTGTAAATACAGAGAAGATTAGAAGTGTTTGGCTGGAAATTAACTCTCACCTTCACTACTGGTACAGTGTACTCACAGAGGACCTATACTGTTGTTGTATTGCATTACAATCCACACAATGTAAATGTTTATTTTGACACCACAAACATTGAGTGCTTTTTCATATATTTGCCTGTATGTTCATACATTTTTATTAGGAATTGACATCTTGATGGAGCCCATTGTGATGGTTATCAAAAAACACTCCTTAATCCAGCAGGGCACTGCCAAGTTTGTAAAAACGCCAGTTTAGTGGAAGATGATTACTAAAAAATAAGCATGATTTTTCTTTGTGTTTATTATATTACAAAAGATTATTATTAAAAATACCCCCGCCGCAGCAAACCTGCCAACTGAGCAAATTTCCATTTGTCTCAATTTATATTCAATTAAATTAAAATAACATTAGGTTTAACGAGTACCTAGGTTTGCTGCTACAAGGAAACTAATAAGTGCACTTTTTGGTAAAATATTAATAAGTATAAGATAAATAAAATTCCAAAGTTTGATCAAAATCTTACTCATATTAGGATGTCTGTATGTAATAAGGGCATTTAGTGTACTAAAACAAATAGGTTCTGATCACATGCAAATAACATTGCATCTTAAAATGAACTAGTGTACCAGTTGCTCTAATTCAAGCAATTGCGAAGTATTACAGATGTTATGTTAAAACGAATAACAGATGACTGTTATTTATGAATTTATGAAAATTCTGATGACTTCAAAGGACTCAAATATTATGGAAATTCTCACGATGAACATAACAGTTCGATGTAATCAACATTTCTTGTAAATATGTTATCACTTTTCAAAAGCTGATTTTGTTTTTTTGTGTTTTTTACAAATGTTTCCCACTCATAGCCGCATTAGGTCGTCCTTAACAACATCCAAAACTATACACATTTTTAATACAACATACCTAGATAATTTACACATTGACTGTTTACAATTAACATATGTTTTTCTTCTCACTTTTAATTTCTGACAACAGTTGGAGTTTCATAACAACGTTTGTTTCCCATGTTAGTCTTATGGAGAAATACAAAACTTTAAAGGGCTCCAGGGCCTCACCCTCTAATTATTTCCCTAAAAAGAATGTTTCCTGCACAACTTCACCTTACACTCTTTTTAATGACAAAAAAACATGTCAATCGGTTCAGTAGTTTTGGAGGAGTAATTGTCACAAAAAATCTGCTTGCGTATTCAATAAGTACTAGTGTACCTTTTGCTCGAATTCGAGCAATTGCTTAGTATTAAATGCGTTATTTTAAAACGAATAACAGTCATAATTTCTGATGACTTTAAAAGATTCGACACAAAGATGATGGAAATACTCAAGATGTTCATAACAGATCGATAATCAACATTTATTGTAAATATCTTATAATTTTTCAAAAGCAGAAAAATAGTTTTTTAGTGTTTTTACAAAGAGCCTTACTCATAGCCGCATTTGGTTGCCCATAATAACGATTATCAATTTAAAAAAAGCATTGTTTCTATTTCTTCTCTTTGGTTTCTATGACTTTCCTATGTTTCCATAGTTTGCAAATTGGCTCTTTCAATTATCACTAAGAATTGCAGCACAGTGTTAATTCAGTTTTCATTTTAGTATATAAAATTATCCAGGCTGTCTCGCGATTTCCATTGTAATATTTACGCCAACCCAAATTCAAATAGTAAATACTTAATTTCAACCAAGTCAGTTTGTAGCAAACTGTTAAATTAGAAAACTTATTGACTGTTTACAATAAACATATGTTCTTCTTCTCACTTTTAATTTCTGACAGCAGCTAGAGTTTCATAACAATTTTTGTTTCCCATGTTAATCTTATGGAGAAATGTGAAACTTTAAAGGGCCCCAGGGCCTCACTCTCTAATATTTCCCTAAAATGAAAGTTTCCTGTACAACTTCACGTTACGCTCTTTCCAATAACACCAAAAACATGTCAATCGGTTCAGTAGTTTCGGAGTAGTAATTGTCACAAAAAAACCTGCTTGCGTATTAAATAAGTACTTTTGTGGTCGTCCTGTGGTCGAAACTCGACCAAATATAATTAATGTACAGACTTCTCTATTTTCTCCCCACACTGTAAATAAAATATGTAATTGGAATTTCTTCCATTTGTTTTGATTTTCTTTTTACATTTTGTTGTTATTTCCTCACCCTCATGGCAACCCATATGGTCCACGTTAATTTTTTGAAGTTTTCAAATTCATTTTTTGTGCCCTTATCAACCAGGGCTCAAAGTTTTAAGATTGAGGCAAAGCTCAGGTCGAAAAATGTGCGAGGGTTAAAAAGACACTTTTTGCTTGTGTGATTAACTATATTTTTCATCATATATTGCACCATTTCAGCAAACTAAGTTACAAAACAAAGTCTTTTTAGTAAATAAACACACTGTAAATAAAATATGTATTTGGAATTTCTTCCATTTGTTTTGATTTTCTTTTCACATTTTGTTGTTATTTCCTCACCCTCATGGCAACCCATATGGTCCACGTTAATTTTTTGAAGTTTTCAAATTCATTTTTTGTGCTTATTTTTTAGCCTATTTTAATTTATAAAGGGATCCTGCACATCTACAGGCAAATATATTTCTAACAGCATGCGTAGATATTCCCTGCGATGCACACGAGCTGAGAAAAAGGTTTTAAAGAAACATGCTTGCCTTATTAATATATAGATAGATAGATAGATTTCACTATAAATGTAAATAATGCTGGGACCTGGGACTGTACTTCCATTGCATCATGACCAACATTCACCTGCGTGTTTGTCACTTGGCCAAGTTTGTTAAATTTGTGTATTTAAATGTTTTCTTATTTGTGTAATTATTTATTCTGACAAAATCATCCACTGATGACAGCTATTTTATCTTGACGCTCTACAACCTGAAGATGTGCCCCAGCGGCATGAAACAGCTGTAGTTATCAATTACTACATCAAGGATCGTTTGACGCAAAAGGTAACTTAACAATTTTATACTTTTTCTTTCGCCCAATTTTAATCCTAATGATACATTAAAACCATTCCTTGCTGATTCATAGTTGTTTTTAGGTTAATTAAACTCAAATGTATACTAATCTGTATTTATTGTATTTTATGAACATAAACAACATTATACAACTAGACAAAAACTTTCAAGCAATGAATTTTATAGTTTTAGATATAGCCTAAGTGTTAAGGTTACTTGGTGACTTGCACCTAGTTTCAGGCACACAAAAATATATAAAAATGACTCCAATGAAACAACAAACTGAGAAAAATCCAAATATAATTGAGTTGCCTATGACGATTGAGAAAATTATGTATACTTTCAATATGACAAAAGAGAAGGTAAATGAATATATAACTGCAATTGATGTTGCCCATTTCTGAGCTTCCCGTGGGATAATTTCTCCCACCATGAACCATGGCAAGGTACCCAGGCCTATGGTGAAAGCATAGAAGTACACACACATAGATACCACAGGAACCCATGACCACTTTGGATGAACATTCAAAGCTGAAACATTCCAATACTTTTATTGGTTGTGGATTTGAAACGTAGCAGAAATTCAAAAACAATGTACAACTAAGCCCCCTTTTATTCACCACGGCAGGCCGCCAGCGGTTTTGTAAGTGCATTGCTGTAAATGATTGCTTTTATTCAAAAAGGAGCAGTCTCAGAAGTAGTGGGTTGCCGCGGAGGTTTGTAAATACAGCCGCTTGCACTTAGAAACTGCAGGCGGCGAGCGGCTCCTATATGCATTGTGTTGTATAGGATAGTTTTATTCAACAAGGCAGCCTGCGGTCGCTCTAGTATTGCTGCCAACCGAAGTCACCTCAAGTGTCACTCACTATACGTGTTCTTATTATTCAGCTGTGCGCATTGTAGTTAGTTGTGTGGTCGTGTCGTACTTAGCGGAAGCTCTCTGGTCAAAATGACTTCCTGTCCTTGGAGTATTTGAGTTCTTGTAGTCGTGGTCTGTCAAACATTTAAAGCAAGTTCATCAAATGATGGCACCGATATTCGAAAATAATTTTTAAAAAACTTCTCACGGTCTTCTCTTAACATTCCAAACTGGTTTCTAAAAATACCATCTACATGTTGAGCTTGATTTATGAGATGCATCTCAAATGCCTATGGCGCTTTTTTACTGTAATCGGGTTGGCAGCACTGTTACACCCTCCACGTGACAGCGGTCGATCGCAGCCGCTTGCCGCGTGACACATTGGTGCAGTGGTTGGGACGGCGTCAGACCGCTGTGGCGTGCCACAGTGAATAAAAGGAGGCTAACAATGTTAGTTGTAGACAATTTTTCAATTGATTTTACATTGTGATTGCTGTGTATTTTACGCTGAATATAAATAAAAGTAAAACGAGGATGCTGAGTGGAGAATGCAGTGGGATGATCTTTGAAGAATTTTATAGGCTGGATGAGCTGTTTCCTTAGCCAGGGCCAGTTATATAAGCAATGATCAAGAACTGCTGGGTCCAGGTGAAAACTATGACCTTTTGATAATACTCATATAAAGCTTTTCAGTTGACCTTTGCTTGACAAACAGGATACCAATTTTGCAATTAAGAAAAACTGTTACCTTTCACAAAAGTGGATTTTAGTAGTACCGTATATTATTTCATCACTAGGGCGTAGAGTGACTCTTATCAACTAGGGCTCAAAGTTTTAAGATTGAGGCAAAGCTGAGGTCGAAAAATGTGCGAGGGTTAAAAAGACACTTTTTGCTTGTGTGATTAACTATATTTTTCATCATATATTGCACCATTTCAGCAAACTAAGTTACAAAAC